CAAGAGATGACAAGAAGAACTCTGCAAAGAGCCTTGGACCCAATGACTGCCATGAAGTTGATTGACACCCTTCAATGGCTGGGAATTTCCCATCTTTTTGAAGAGGAGATTAACTTATGGTTAGAGAAATTACAACATTGGGAAGCTTCAGAACAAGATCTTCATGCCACCGCTTTACGTTTTTGACTACTCAGACAGAATGCCATGCCTGCTAGCTCAGGTAATATTAACACTAGTTTGCACCTTTAGTTTTTGCTCAAAGCTCCATTGGTTATAAAATTGTTATCTTATCCAGTTCATTAATTAATAGATGTTTTCAAACAATTCTTTGGGAAGAACCAAGACAAAGAAGGCTTGTTAAGTTTATACGAAGCATCGTATTTAGGTTCAAATGGCGATGAAACACTTTCAAAGGCCATGATATTTTCATAAAGTGAACTTAAAGCATTGGATAGGGGCACTACCGTGTTACCACAGCATCTTTCCCGGGGCATTAGTCGAGCCTTCGAACTTCCGAGGCACATGAGAATGGAGAGGCTAGAATCGAGACTGTATATCGATGAATACAGCAAGCAAAACAACCACAATAGTCTTCTTTTGCAGCTTGCAAAATCTAATTATAATCAGGTCCAATCAATGTACCAAATGGAGCTTGGTGAGGTTACCAGGTATCTGATAAGATATTCCAGCCCTAATCCACATCTATTCTTTCTCCTGTCTTCTTTTTGTTTTTTTCATAAATTATAGATAAATTTATTTAATTTAAAGTAGTGAAACTATAAACATCCAATAGTAAAATTTTTGACAACTTGTACTTACAACTAGGGTTTATTTCCTCAGATCTTGTAAGTTTTAAAACTCTAATATTATTTGACCAAAATTACAATTTTGCTACTCATTATTGCTAGAATATAATTATCATCGAGGCGAAAGGAATGCAAAGAATTAACCATATAAATTAAAGTCAATAAGAATTTGATCAAAATTTTCAATTAAATGTGGCAAATTAATGTCCATGGGTTATTTCAACAATGTTTTTAACAACATTATTATATTTTAGCTTCACCCATAGTAATACTTCATTTGGCAGTAGAAGGATTGTCGCCTTGGCGCGGCGCCGGCGGT